CTTTTTTAAATTAATAATTAGAATAAACAGAAGGAAGGATTGTAATTAATTTAATTGGAAATGTTTTCGATAATATAATGAACAATGAAAGGATTAAGAATGCTATACTTCCATCTAGAATGGAAATATTTAATTAAATAAATTAAGGATTTTAATCTCAATCACTTTATTTCCATCATATTTGATTAATTCAATTTTAATTATTTAATAGTTTTCTCCTCAATTTTAATTATTTAATTATTTCTCTTACTTTTTTTTTTTAGGTTTCTCGTTATATTATTATTGTTCATAGCAGGTTTTACTCTACATATCACTTCTATATTTCAGGTAATTAAAATAATAAATATGGTGATTTTTTTTTTCGAAATATTTCTTATTAATGATAGAATATGATCACCTTAGTATTACAGAGGTACTGTACAAATATGATTACTTTTGCATTACAGAGGTACTGTACAAATATGATTACTTTAGCATTACAGAGGTACTGTATAAATTTTCAAAAATTCAAAGTTACAATTTTGTAAATCAATCGATAAAATTTGCATTTAAGCGTAATTCGTATTTTTATATTAATTTTCACATTTTTCAATTTGATTAGAATGAATGTTATAGCCAGCATATCAGCCAGCGGATTCGGATGATGCGCAATGGATGCGTCTTTCATCACCGGAGCAAACTCTTGAAATGTTGTTCTTCTCGTTGTTTGGATTAGTAGAACCGGATACGATGCCACCACTTCATTTAGTTCCTGATTTTGGCAAAATTATTTTAAAAATGATTTTTGGAATCTATTTATTGGTTACTTTAATTGTAAGTAATTTTTGAAACATTATGATTTCATATTTCCGTAAAAACGTATTGGATAATTTAATTAAAAGTTAAACTTTAAACTTAGCTTAAAATTTCAAAAAAAAAAATTTTTTTTTGATCAAAAATTTAAGCTGAAATATTAAGAAATATTTGAATTGAAAAATTTTTTAGGTTTTAATAAATTTATTGATTGCAATGATGTCTGATACATATCAACGGATTCAAGCACAATCAGATAAGGAATGGAAATTCGGTCGTGCAATTTTAATCCGGCAGATGAATAAACGTGCCGCTACTCCGGCTCCAATTAATATGTTAACAAAATTGATCGTTGTCCTTAAAGTTGCTTATAGAAATAATTGTAAGTTATTTTTTAATTTTCATTGATAATTATACATAATTAATAAGTAGAGAAAAAATTAGTAAATATTTTAAAAAAGTAATAAAATTCAACAAATTTAAATTACATTTTAATTGGATTATTTCAAATTTTGTTATTATTTTACGAAAAATTTCGAATTTTAAACTTCAAAATTACGTGTAATAAATTTAATTTTATTAAAGTTAATTTTTTTTTGCAGTAAAATAAAAGCTTACTTCAATTATACTTTTAGTTTTTTTTCTTTTTACTACAGTAAAGTTAAATTTACTACTTTGAATTTAATTACGAATTAATTTTTTATTTTTATTTTCAGTAAAATTATGTACGCAAAAAGCTCAACAAGATCTCAGGCATGAAGAAAACATTGATGCATTTTCAATGAGTGGTGATACAGGTCGTCTTAGTCCAGCAATTTTAGCTGATGATGATACTGGTGGTACCATTTTTCTTTTTTCAATTTCCAATATAATTATGCAGTTTAAAAAGTTCGATAAAATCTTAGACATTTTTTGTTTTAAAATTTTACATATAAGGCCACTTAGATAAGTGATAATAGGTTCAAGTGATAAGCTAATATGAACTAAATGTTAAATAATTCTTATTTTATTTTTTATTTTTTTTTTTGCTGATTAAGTTTTTAAAGTTTTTCAACTTATCTATCCTTTGGTTAATCGATACATTATTATAAGCATTAACTTGAACTTTTGAACTTTCAAATGTCTAAAAATTTTATTTTTCTAAAACAATGGATCACTTAAATACTTAAATATTGAAAAAATTACAAATCCAAGTACTAAAAAAAAAAATTTTTTTTCTTAAATTTTAATTCTTTAGAAGTTCGTCGTGGCCAGAATGAAGAATTAGGAAAAAGTGATGATTGGAATATTGAAACAATAATTGATTGGAAACGTGTAGTTGATATGTATTATCAAACAAATGGTCAAGTAGATGCGGAAGATATACAGGTAGAAATGTCATCATGAATGTGACAAACTGAATGTGCTGCGTGCTTTTTAACTAGTAAACAGTTTAAATTTGATATATTCGAAATTGTGGAATAGTGTACCTCAGAAGTGGAAATAAAAATTGCGATAGAAAATTCCTTCATTTCATAATTAAATCTATTCCTTTTTTTTTAAATCGAAATTTTTCATCTTTTAGTAATCTAATAAATGAATAATTTGGCTTATCAGTTTATCAATTTCGTTTTTCTTTTTTCCATTTGAAGTGCCATAACAGTTGTTTTTTTTTTCTTCTTTAATTGGATTTATATATTTCTATCATTTGTATTTGTATTTGTTATAATAAAATATTCGCTCATTTCTGTTATATTTTTAAAGAATAAATCTTTAAAAAAAAAAATTATCACAAAAAAAATGGCAATGAAATAGCAAATGTCAAAATGTGAAAAAATTTTTTGCAATATAATTCAATCGAATATTTTAATTTCATAGCTATAAAAATAACTA